TAGTAAGATTTTTATTTAAGTGAAGTGGTGAGTGTTGCCACTAGATAATTATGATTCTACTGTAAATATACATACAATACATCCTGACAGTATTATCTACAGATTTTCTAATGGAGTATGGTGGAAAACAATTAAAGTTAATATCGCAATGAAAACGACTTGTTATTTATGCAGCTATATGTGACATTACACTTGCAATAACTTACAACATTTGTATAAACTATATTCTGCCCATGACGCCAGATCGTGAATTGACCTGATTTCTAACATAAATAGATAGATAGATTACTTTATTCATCCCGAAGGGAAATTAAGTCGTCATAGCAGCTGGTATATTTGAATAGAATAAAAAACAATACAATAGAATAAAATAAAATAATAAAACATGAAAGGTTTAAAACCAGTTAGAAGAGAGATCATGTGTCTACAATGATCTCAGTCTCTACTTACAGTTCAGGAGTCTCTCGGTGTGAACAGGCAGGTTCTTTATTTACAGCCTCAGCTGACACACCCCGAAAACACCAAAGTACTTCCGCGTTCTCACATGTCACATGTGTGTGTATGGAAGCCGAAAGCGGCTTTGCTTCGCTTTTTTCTGAGACACAAATACAGCCTATCTACCTCAGATCTGTAAAAGTTCTGCCGTTAGTTTGTTTTCAAGTGTTTGTTAATCTCTGCTCATAAAGAAGAATTTAAACCAATTTATCTCTGTCTAATTCAGAATAAGATGTCACGCAGAGAAATACACAATGACATGCTGTTGCGTGAAATGGACACTGGGTGGAAGCACTTACCGGCAGCGCCACAGGGACTCTTTGCAATTCATCGCAAAAGTGGAGCTCATGATACAGATGAATGGAGAATGAGCAACAGTTGTCCTGCTTCTCTGATTTCTGTCTCATATTTCCTGCTCAGTTACTCACCTTTTCTGTGACCTAAGATGTTTATAAGCTAATATGAATCCCTGGTGATTTGTGGTCCATAAACTAAAAGTTTGTTAAGTGTGTGAATAAAGTAAAGTGATGATTGTAGTGGACAAAATGTCCTCCAACGCCGTAGCCAATTGTTTACTTTCATTTGTTTCTTTCGGGCTCCTGGGCATTTGTGGGTTATTACTGTATGTGTGAAAATCAGTTGTGTGTGTGTAGTGCATTGCTTGAAATGTTGGAGCTAATGCTATTGTGCAGTCTGTGTTCATATGGTGTAAATGTAAAATAGTTTAACTGCAAGGTAGATTTATTCTGTTAATTTAAGTGAGCACTTAATGTACGTATTTTATGTACAGTTATAGAAAGAGAATACTCTTTCAATGAGAGAATAAAGATGATGTGTGTAAGGGTGAAGTACATGATTGATGATAGAAAGATGACATGATTAAAAGGGAAAATGTTTATCTTTGGTTAAATACAAATTTGGTTAAGTTTATTTCTTGAAAATATGTAAAGATAGACATTTAATGTGAATGTTATCGTAAAATGGTTAATCCTGGTGCTGTAATGCAGACAAAATAACAGAAATAATTCATGGTTGCAGTGAAAAGGTTAAAATGAATGTGAGAATAAAACATAATCCAGATGAATGGAGAATGAGC